CAATTAACTAAAAGCATTGTTTCTTTATTTCATAAGTTGGCACGGTTGTGGGAAGATGGTCGGCATTTTGGAACCCAATTTTGAATCTTTTTCCAAACTCCTAATCATAAAGGTGCAGTTTTCTTTGATTTCAAGCAAGGGTTATGTACTATAAGTAATTACTAATATTTAAAAACTCTTCATGTGGCAGTTTTCCAATTGTGTGCCGGGGTGGTCACTCATTTGTTCTAAGATAAAATTCATTACTTCATTTTAACACCATCCGCCATCGCAGCTTTGGTTATTTTAAAGTCAATGCTTCGTGCTGTTTGAACACAGTCAAAAAGAAAAAGAAAATAGTAGAAATCTACACTATCAGACTAATTAAATCTAGACTTTTCTATGCAATCAGTCATAAAAGCAGTTTGGGTGGGTCAATGCAATTAAAGAGAAGCAGGCCGACATTATGGTGTGCCACACAACACGCAGCGAGTTACTCGCTTAGTAATAAAAGAAAAGGAGTAGTGATTGAAGCCAGATAAATGGGTCGTGCTACGCATTTATCTGTTGGAAAAGAACCTCTTTTGATTCCGTTAATAATAGGAAATAATAAAAAAATACATTCCACTAAAACTACAAAGTTTAGTGGAAACTATCACACGTATTGGTGAAATTCTTCTTTTTTTTAATTCTTCGCCTAGTAAACCACGGATTCATTATAATACATATTTGCATTTCTAAAAATACTTGTGATATTTTTATTTCACCTGTCTCTTTTTCAACACTTGAATCACCACATACAATTCTTTCAAAAAATTGCCATTTTTTTGGACGAACTTGTCCATTCGTGCAACAGCCCAGACAGCTGCGTAGCTGCACCGTGAAGTGTGTAAACTTGTCTGTACATGGCACTGATAATCAGCAGGACTTTCCTGGACCTCGTTTTTCTTTCAAAACCCACCACAAAACCAACGGACACCATATGCGATTTATGCGTTTTATTAAACTCATTCCATTTTGCACTATAATTAATAAAGTCCGCGCTACAATAATTTGTTAGGAATGATATATAGACCAAGTTAGCGCTAGTACTATCCATTCCGTCCAATATTCAAAGCGTTTGATGTATATAATGAGATCATGAATATCAATGATTTGATTCAGCGAATTCAAATATTAAAGAGCAAAGTGTAAAATATATTCAGTAGCTGATAGAACTATAAAATTATTTCTGAAAGAAGCAAAACAAGTGATCTGGACGTTTTGAAAATCGAAAATGAATCTATACTTATAATATTTTTGATATATGCACGGTAAAACATGCTTGGTAATTTGTATATTAATTTTTTTTTGTTTACAATCTTTATTGATCTAATATTTACAAGATTAAATCTATCTAAAATTACATATTATCTAATAAACCTAATCCACGCGGCATGGTGCCAAGAACGCTAGCTGCATTTCCTCGCTGAATGCTTAACCTTTGAGCGAGAACAGAACCAGCTCTCTTGTTACCAGCCGCGGCGTTAAGCCTAGGACTTTTAAAAAAAATTGATGTGCGGGGACCCCACGGACCTAATGTTTCAACAGCAAATTCAATATTAAATGCTTATTTTGTTTTTAGGGTTCCTTACCCAAAGGGTAAAACGGAACTCTATTACTAAGACTCCGCTGTCTGTTTGTCTGTCCGTCTGCAACCGCTTGTAGGCTGTATCGCTTGAACTGTGATAGTTATTGAAATTGAATGATTTATATCTTTTGCCCCTATAAGAACAAATAAAAAACTAAAAAACAGGATAAAAAACATTAAAGTCGGGCTCATACAACAGAAACATTTTTTTTGCCGTTTTTATAGATATATGTATAAAATTATTTTATAGAATTGTACGGATCCCGTGGTTTGCGAGTTTAACTCGTTTAATTTAGATAAGCAATACAGCAGTTATAATTATAGTTTACACAAACTAAAACATGTTTTTGATAGCCGTACTTAAATAAATATTAGCAATTAAAATGAACCACATATTAACACAAAAAAAATATTTTATTGTATAAAAGCGTATAGGCTCGGCTATCTACAAAAGCGTGGTTTTTACAGTTAGTCCTGATCCTGGTCAGGATAGTAGGATAAATTTATTACCTAATTGGTGTTGTAGATGTCCATGGAAGGCGGTATACATTTAACATCAGGTTTTTCGGGGGTAGGGCCACGCAACAGTGTTTGCCGTTGGACGAATGGGCAGGTCCGTCCGGGTTAGTACTACGACCTCACAGAAGACCGGCGTTAAGTAGAAGTGTTACACTTTTCTGGTGAGTGAGGTAGCCGGGCGCCCACTTCATTAAGAAGTGGCAACGCATCTGCAACCCTACGCGGTGTCGCAAATGTCCATGGGCAGGCGGTTATCACTTCACGTCAGGTGAACCGCCAGCTCGTTTGACAATTTTTCACATAAAAAAAAAACCACTCCCGCCTCTCTCTGAAAGGTTCGCAACATATGAGCATGACTCCGCGAGCGTAGATTTATTCATAGGCCGGGGTAATTATTTAATATCACGCGAATCGCCCACTCTGTTACTGCCTTGTTCAATAAATCAGATTCCAATTAATCTGAACCGAAGCTAGGCTTGTGATCAATTGATTGTTACTTGTGAAAAATTAACAAGTATGCAAAGCGATTATGTCTTGTGAATCAATAGATGTCTCGGTGGCGCACCGCTGGATTTGAAAAGTTATTATTTTGGCCAATCACTTATGCCAGGCATGTCAAAGAAAATATGAGTAGTTCAAACAGGGTTTAAATTATGGATTTTATGGATACGAATATTCGTTTGTGGTTCCGGATACGAATTCATTTAGGATCTTCCTATAGATTCAGATAGATTCGCTATCAGGTCTTTGACTATATACTTATTTAGATAACCCATTAGCCATACCAAACAGCGCAAAAAATAAAATCTACTAAAATTGGTAGACACGCGTCTAGCTTATGTCAATGTCATTTGGATCGCTTACGGATAACGTGCTTAGGATGTTAGTGTAGCGTGTTGCTTTGGTTAGTCGGTGTTGTCAGTTTATTATTTTGGGGAAACTATGGGCGATACAATACAAATATCATTACATCATCTTTTTATGAAAACGTCATAATTTTAAAAATAAGATTATTTACTTGATAAGTAAATGATAACTTACCCACGCAAAATAAACGAAACCCATGAACTAAATCAAACATGCATTAAATAGTATTTTCAACCGACTTCAAAAAAGGAGGAGGTTTTCAATTCGATTGTATGTTTTTTTATGTTTATTACCTCAAAACTTTCGACTGAGCGAACTGATTTTGATGATTCTATTTTTATTTGAAAGCTGGTGCTTTCCATGTGTCCCATATTAATTTCATTGGTATTGGATCTTGGGCTCCAAATATGCTTAGGGAACTCCTGAAAATCAATTGTTAAATGTATTCGTTGATAATAGCGGCATCGGAAATACATCATCTGCGAAAATTTTAACTGTCTAACAGATAGACGGACCGATAGCGGATTCTTAGTAATAGGATCCCGTTTTACACTTTGGGTACGGAAACCTAAAAGGAACGCGGGCAAGTGTACATAGTAAAATAACATTCACAAAGAATAGACTATTAAATCAAACTGTTATTGTTATTTTACTGTTAAGTTGGAGAGGCATAGAAAAAAGAGTTACAAGGAATTAATTTAGTTTTATAATTCCAAAAAATAATCCGCTTATTGCCAAGCATGCGTCATAAATCTCAAGGATAAAAATACTTTGGTACTATATAAAGTTGCGGCTTGATACTGATTAGTCAGTTGGTCATTTTGTCTTATTCTCAAAAAGGTAAGTAAAGTGTTTTCTCTAAATTTTGAGCTTGATATAATTGTGGTATATTGTATCAGATTTGTTGTCTATCATGTAATTGCGGTTCATTGTATTCTATCATGTAAGTGTACTTTAAAATTCATGTTTATATTGCACTAACGGCAAGATACTATTGTTTTGGTTTCTGAAAAAGTTCTGCTTGCTTGTAAAGTTTGCAAAAGATATGTTTTCATTTATTGAAACAGTATACTTATTTTAAATTGTTTTTGCTATTTCCAACGCATATAAGCTTTCATTTCGCATCACCGTCTCACTGGAAATATAATCAATCAATCGCGTAGTGTCTGATAATGTTACCTTATGATCTACGATAGTGGATGAAATAATAATTAAGATGAAGTTCAAATGCTGTCTACAACTCAGTTTTTCGAATGTCATAATCCGGTAAATAAGTTAAAGGATTGTTATTATGTACCGATCGTAGTACGTATCATGCATACGTGCATGTTAATACGTGAAGAGAAAACCTCTGATCCCTTTTTTATGTTAAATGTTGCGCGCCAGACGAATACAAGAAAACTAAAAATGATATAAAATATACAGGATGGCTTTTTTCACACAGGAGGTGCAAACTTAAACAGTTGCACAGAGTAAAATTTGTAGCCACAGAGTAAAATTTGTAGCTAAACATTTTATTGTGCCATATCAAATGAATGACTCGGAAAGAATAATTTTTCATTAAATTTAAGGAATTTCGGAAAATTTCATCCAATGGGCGAAAAGTTATACTTTATTTCAATATTATAATCGTGAAATTAGTTGAGTAGCGATGGCACAAGAGGATAAATTATCAAGAATGTAGCGTGTGCGCTCCGTAGTTACAATCTACGGTTACACACTTACGGGTAGTTGCGTCAAAATTGGGTATAGGAATAAAATTAACAATATGTTTATACATATAATATTCTATATATTTATTATGTCATACGCGGGCAAATAACATAGACGTTAATAGATTCCGTGTGTTCAAGTTATGTACACATTCGCGTTTTTATTGTGATGTATTTTTCCTATGAAAAATAATCGGCCTTTTCTTGCGAATAAAACTGTTAATGATATATAGATGAATTAATCGTCATCGTATGATAGATGTTACCATTGAAATGTTTTTCAGGCTCTAAGCATGAGGATCATCGTTCTATTAGCCGTAGTGTCAGCGGTCGCTGCGAGACCAGACGCTGATTTTTACGATAAAAAATACGAGAACTTCAATGCAAAGGAACTGGCTTCCAACGACAGGCTACTGCATTCATATTCATTGTGTATACTGGGAAAAGGAAAATGTACACCAGAAGGAAATGATTTCAAAGGTAAGCGCCATTAAGTATTTTATTAGTCAAATTATTTTATGAGAAGGACTCCGAGCTTACTCTGGCAGGGTAACGATAATTTAAACAATAGCTTCTGTCCCACGAACACTGTCGACTGGGGCCATAATATGAGCTTACAGAAGATCTAAAAATAAATATTTAATAATAAATATCGATGAAAAAGTATTTATACTTTTAATGATTCTTTTTACTTTATTATGTACGACGAAAAAATTATGTATGGAGTTTTATTGAATTAAAATGAATTGATTGATTTCAAGTAAAAGTTAAAAATTTGTTCTCATTTTCAGATTGGACCCCCGAGGCAATTCAGACTAATTGTGGCAAATGCACAGAAAAGCAGAAATCTCTGATTGCGGAAGTTATTAAAGCAGTCCGTGAAAAGCTTCCCAATGACTGGGAAGAATTGACGCAGAAATATAATCCTAGTGGTCAGCATACAGAAGATCTAAACCAGTTCATTAAACAATACGCACCCAACTAAATATTTACAAAAAATTTTTCTAATTATCTAACAACAAAATGATTGCACTTTTCACAATTTATATTTAAGCATTCTTAATTAAAATTGTTTGTTTAAATTTAAAGTTGCACTGATCAAATTTTAATAAAAAGGTTTTTTTTAGATATTATTATTGCTTATAAATTTTGTGTACTAATTGAGTCACCCTACTAATGATAAACGATAACTATCAACGCAACTTCAATAAACGCAAGGTACAGGAATAAAATTGATAATTTGTATATCAAATATTGTATTTGTGATAATGAATGTTCTAATTTGAATTTAATGGTTATTTTAGAACGCAATGCACAATAAAAATTGTCCGTATTTATGCAAAATGGAACCACACGACAATTTTGTGTTTTTCTTTTTTTTAAGAATATTGAATTTAAAAGTGGTCTAAATTCTTATTCAAAAAAGAACCACATGATTTTTCCCTTGGAAATAGGGCATACAAAAAGCAGAAAGGAACCAACTGCAATAAAGAACATTACATATAAAGCAAAAGCGAAACACAGTACAACGGGACTCGATTGTTCAAACAAATAAACTATATTACTAACATGTCATTTTATACAAAACAGATCCACACATACTTGGTTCCATTATAAATTTCATAGATTTCAATTATTAACAATCATTTTTAATATACCAAATGGAACCAAGATTCTGTGGTATCGTTATGCGTAAAATAAATTCATAATTTAATTTCTAATATTTTTTTCAAAATGAAACCACAAGCATTCGGTTCCATCATGTATAAATACATTGTGTCAAATAGTAGAACCACTAGTATGTGATTCCATTATCAATATAACGTTTTGAAACACATCATCGCCCAAAGGTACCAAATGTCATAACTTGTTAGATGCCTCTTGCCTTTAAACAACGTAATATAGGTACTCGTATACTTACTACTTTCGAAATATATAAATTCTCTCGTAAATATCTATTGGAAAAAGTCGAAGTGCACCTGAATTTATATATCAAAACACTTGTCGTTTCTACAAAGATCAATAATACTGATTTAATTAAAGTGATATCATAGAATTATAAATATTATATAGAATAGGATGGGAAAGTGGAGGTAAGAATAAATGCAGCGACAAAATAGTATTATACGTGAGGTGCAATTAAACCATCTTACTAAGTTTAAATCACACAATAGAAGAAGTAAGCCCGTGACCGAATATCTTATTAGACTTGACTTTGGACACCATGTTCGATTTAAACTGTGTACATATAGGAGAAGCTAAGAAGATCAATAAGGCAATGTATTGTTTTTATTTAAGAAGATGGCATGGGCATTTGCAACACCCGTAGGATCGCAGATGCATTGTCACTTTTTAATAAAGTGGGCCCTGGGTACAATACTCTAAAGTACACATGGTACTTCCCCGGACGGACCCACCTATTCGTGAAACAGCGAAGACTGATGCGTGGCCCATATTTAAATCTTAGACGAGTGCCTTTAAAACAGATTTTTGTAAAAAGTGTGATACTTTAAAATCGGAAATTAACTCCTTGCAAACCTGCTGAGAAGAAAACAGCCATAGATACAGAACGCGAAGAACATTGCCGATAATGGAAAGAGGCTCAAAATCGAAACCTGACTTTATTCTTGCTACTAAATGTAAGAAACTAGTCTCAAGTTTGATCTCCAAAACATTACTTACCATAAATGACAGCTGTGGCTGGGTTGCTTTTTTGGATAGAAAGAATGGTTGCCAAAGGTGCTCAGGAAATAGGTTCTTGTCTTTTAAAATGTATATATACGCGAGCATATTTCTGTAGATTTCGAGGATCTAATTTTATGGACCGATTCATGTGGAGGATTCAATTTCATGTTAAAAGCATTTTTGCATCCTCATTTCACCTTCAAAAAATAACACTAACACAATTTTTATACTCGGACATGCTACCTAACCAATGACAGAGATTTCCCTCATTGAAACGGCAATAAAGAAATATCCGAGACTATACACTTCCGATGATTATAGCCAGGTAATGAAAGATTGCATGAAATATCACCGCTTACAGTAACAGTTATGCCAAAAACTCACATGGGAACTTATAAGGTTGAAAATAGTATTCGTAACAGACGTGGTATTAATAAATAATGTATTAATCGGATATAAACTCAAAAAACATACCTGAAAATAGAATCACCTTACTCGATTTATTTTAAAAGATTTACTTGGGAGTTCTGTGTCCGGCTGTAATCTTGACAAAACATTTACCTCCCCTGTGATCGTCAAGGAAGCCAGTATCATCAGCGAAACTAGCTGATGTTCAGTTTATATTACACCTCCTGCCACTAAATGCAGAGTTTTTATAATGGTCTCAATTATAAAGATGTGAATACAATAGAAGTCGATATAGTTGGACTGAACGGTCGATTTCGAAGTTCAATTCGATGATAACGTCTAATAAACGTTGTCTATACGTATAATTTTATATTTTTGGTGAATTAAAGCTTTATTACGATAATATAAATACATAGTTTCATTTATATCAGTAAATCCCTGGGTTGTGGTTCTTTTTTGTATATGAGAAAACCTATAAATCAGTAAATGTTAAAAGGAACCACATGCACATTTTCTTAATTATTTAGAATATTTCAGGCTGTGCAGAGCAAATTTATATATACTTACTTAAATACATAATTTATCAATAAATTAAAATAAAATAAATAATAATTTTGTTTCATCTAACAGAGCCGCACATATTTTTGTAAATCCTGTAATATCTCAGAAGTGCGTTTTTGCTGGGTGGTTCCTTTTTGCATAAATACGGACAATTGATCTCAATGCTAATGTAGGAACGTACCCAACACGCACAGAATTTTCTTGTACGACCACTTAACTTTGGGGACGTTCCTCGTATACGTTAAGAAATAAATGTCTGTCGGGTCCAAACAATAGTTTTTTATACCTAAACAACAGGCTCTACCAAAAATGATTTCTCATTGACTATAATCCAAACAATCTGTAAACCAACGAAACAATTTGGATCAGAGCAGTTTAATCAGGATTACCATGTATTTGAAAATTAATCTAAGCGTAATCAAACCATATTCAATATGGATCGTCGATAATGTGATTGTAGAAAAAACTCGTAATCGTTCGATGTTTCGCCACAATACTCACGGGTTTTAATTGTTATGGTAATGCATAAGAAAGTATGAACATTTCTCCTTAAGTTACATTTTAAGTGCAGATACTAGCACTAAATTAACCATTAATCTTAATATTTATGAGCCAAGGCGACATCTCGTTACAAATATTCATCGTCAAATATTCTGGGGTATTGTATGCTAAAAAGATGCACACTAGTCGTCAAGCATTACTCTTGAGGCAATGCGGTGGAGTAAGTTTCTTAGATATTTTTTTCGTTAGGTAATATTTAAAAACGTTGTTCGAAACGATATACATATATTATATACCAGTGAAATTAAACTAAGTACATATTTCAAATGTAACATCTGCAATTCTTAAAGATTAACGGATTTTTTTTCGGTTTATAAATGCTTTAGTCAGTCTTTTACCTTGTTTTTATCGCAACTTTTATTTGGATTTATCGCTTCTATTTGGAATAAATGATCCTTCACTACAAAATTTTATATGGGCTATAATAGTGTATCTTCAGAATATTACTTTTACAAATATAGTTTTTTTAATACACATATTTCTGTAAATAATATTTGTTTCGTAGTATCTTTATATTTGTTTATCGTGTATTACTTATACCAAAAAAAATGAAAGAAATATTTACATAAATATCTTTTTTATATAAATCTAAAAAATGCTTTTAAAATATTGATAATGAAAAATTTATTTCAGATTTTTATATAATAGAACCTCCCGGTAATTCATCCTCATATAAATATTTGTACATTCTATCGAAATCATTATAAAACACTTTAAACAAGAATAAACTTTGTTGATTCAAGTTACCGGTATGAGTGGCTGATTAATTATTTCTCCCCTGAAAGATGGAGGGTCTAGAACGTGACTTGAAAGTTCTTGTTGGCTTTTTAGTAAGAACGTTGAAAATAAGACATGAAATATCATTTTTGAATTTTCGAGAAAAGGCAACTGGTATTGCGAAAGAGTTCAACAACTATGTAAAATTGAACGTAACTACGTTTCAAAGTGAAACTGGTTAGTTATTTTATTATTTTAACCGAGTTATTCCATGCTTGGCTATCTATAACCTAGTAGCTATCTAAAACTGACTCAATTATAATAGGCTAGATTAGGCAGTAATAAGTCTTTATCGATTTGGTAGTCTATCTTTACTTCACCGGAAAATTCCATATAAACATTAGTAATGCCAAAACTTACACTCCTCCGTCTTGCAATCTAATATATAAAATTCTCGTGTCACGGTATTATTGTGTAATTGAAATCCTCCGAAACGGCTCGACCGATTTTCATGAAATTTTGTGTGCATATCCGCCAGGGTGGAGAATCGGACAGCATCTATTTTTCATCCCCCTGACTGTTAAGGGTGGTCCACCCCTAAATTTATTTATATTTTTTATACAAATTTTTTGTTTTTATTTTTTTATCATACAGCATACAATCCTAAAATTTCACCCCTCTATGCAGACGTAGTCGCGGGCAGCAGCTAGTATACTTATAAAGGGATTGTTGCACTTTATTTCATTATTTTAATATAATTGATATTTAGTCCAGAGATACTCCTTTAAAAATTTATACTAATAAATTTATCGTTCTACTATCAAGTTTAATAAATAAAGTATTCTTTACTTGTCACACCAAGAAAATTTTGTCAATATAAAATAGACAAAAAATGTTCTGAATTTAGAGTAAATTTTGTTTTAGAAGATCCGTGATAGTTCAGTATCCGGGCGCTCGCCTTTAGTTTAATATACTCGAGCAACCTGAGTTCGATCCCCAGTGCCGGCACCAATGAAGTTTTTAACTTTAAGTGATGACTTATCACGTGCT